TGCGTCCTGTAGGGAAAATTCTCCCAAAAAAAAAAAAAGAGAGAAAACTGAAGAGGATAGTCACAGTGGCAAGAAAAGAATGTGGATGGAATAATTTAATCATTTTATCTATCTCTGTCTGTCCAGACAATTCCTCAGAATTCTCCCAACACAGTGCTCTAGTGCAATTCAGCTCTATTTGTCATTATTGATCTAGACCTAACTCCATCTAACAGATGAGATACTTGAAGCTCAGAGAGGGGAATTAATGCATTGAAGCCTAAAGTCAGACTCTTCAGGCTGTTCTGACATATGCTTTCCATGAAACATCTTATTGCCGGGTTCCTGTGAGTCCTTGACAGATGTCAATTGAATTGAGAATTGGCTTGGTTACATCCTATAGCCCACTTGGGGCTATCAGAGTTGAGATGTGTCATTTTCCTAGGCTGCCATAATAAATTACCAAAAATGGGGAGTCTTAAAAGAACAGAAATTTGGGACCAGCAGTTGGTGTAATGGCTATGTCGCTGGACTCCCACGTAGTCGACCGCGGTTCATGTCCTGGACCCGGTGGCTTAAACTCACGCCGGGTGTGTGTGTGTGCCCAAGATCCCGAGAGGAGAATGGAGGAGAAGGGATTGTGGCATGGCCATCCCCCCTGGGGGGTGATTTCTCACTTTCTGTCTCTCTGTCTCTCTCTGTCTTTCTGGTGAGAGCTCGCACCCCATGGCAAAAACAAACAAAACAAAACAAAAACAAAACAAAACAAAACCTCTCTAAGAAAAAAAAAAAAAAGAACAGAAATTTATCCATAGTTTTGAGGTCTAGAAGTTCAAACTTAAGGTGTCAACAAAAACATGTTCTCTCCAAAATCACTAGACAAGAATTCTTCCTTGCCTCTTCTAGTTTCTGGTAATTGCTGTCAGTCCTAGGTATTCCTTGATTTCTGATGTTCTTGATGTCTCTACTTTCATAGTTACATGACATTCTTCCAGTGTCCATATGTCCCTTCACATGGTCATCTTGTAAGGTCACTATTCATTGTATTTAGAATTCACCCTAATCCAGTATTACCTCATCTTCGCTTCATGACATCTGCAAAGACCCTTTTTCTAAATAAGGTTATATTACAGATAATGGGGATTTAAGGTATCTTTTGGGGGATACAGTTCAATCTCTGACAAAGGTTCAGGGAAGCTTAGTAATAATAGGATCTTGCAATATTTTCAGCACTTTGGAAAGAATGACTTGGGGATCGCTAGTGAGCTAGCATGGAGGTCTATAACCAGACGTCTCAGTTAGAGAGAAATGTACTATATGAGTAGCTATTGTTAGTATTAGTACTCACACTTCTGTCAACATGGTTAGCCATTGTCTATTTTTTGGTAACAATCTGCATAGTTAATAGTAAAAGATAGTTTTTATTTAAATATTAAGTGCCAAAACTTTAAATAAATTTTCTTTATCTCTCATAGTCATTATACAACATAGATGTCATTCTTCTCAATTGGAAAGGAAGAAATGAAAGCTTAGAAATACTAAGTAACTTATCCAAAGTCACAGACCTAGAAATGTACAGAATCAGTATTCAAACACAGGTCTGTCTCAAACCACAGTGTTCTTTTTGTAGGACTAGGTTTGAAAAGGTTTTGGTGGAAAATTTGCTATGTATATCTATGCATTAGTAGCCTATTTTATTCCCAGAAGGATTTGAAACAGCTCACAGAAATATATACAGTATAAGAGAATAAAGACTAGTTTGAAAAAATCAGAGTTGAGGGAAAATAAGAGTAAAGAAATAAGATGAAGTCAGGGCTCCAGTTAGAATATCTGAATATACATCAGAATGTCCAGAGTCATTGTTTCTCTGGGTTGCACATCTATCTCTGGGATTTCTGCAAGCAAGGAGATATATGATCTATTAAAATATTCACAACACCCAAAATAGAAAACAAAGCAACAATAAAACCAAGTCCTAATTAGAAGCAAAGCTTTACTTGGTTCTGAGTTCAGGAAGGTATTTCTCCTATAGGCCTCCTGTAGGATATCTTGGGCAAAGACCCCAGCAACTTCCTAAAAGGAGTAACCACCACCACATGTATCACAGGGCTGATTCCTGCAACCAACACCCTCCTCTCACCCACTCTGTGTCGGCTAGTGACTCCTTGCCAACATGCAGCTCCTGGCAAGTGTTCTGCAGGGCTTTGTTGGTTTTTATCATGATGAGCTATATCAAGGAGTTCAGCAGTTCCACTAGAGTGGGATAGCATTTCTTCATCATGGCCCAAATTGGGGAAAAGTTTGGTCACACATGTTGGCATTCTTAGGGGCATTCAGTTTAGAGATAGCACCCCAGTGTTTCCAGAGTCCCTGCTCAGATCCAATCCTGCATTTCCTATTCCACGTACAGAGGGATTTTTGGGAAAACAATTTATAGACAGGACTCTCTTCCATGTAGCCAGAACTGGGAATACAAGCTCTTCTGTCAGACTGACCCGGTGTCATAAACCAAAGTGAAGTACATACAAGACTTCTCCATAGTCCTGGGTTTGATTTGCTGTGTATTCCTCTATGGGGAATAGTCCTAGAGAGTGGAAGCAGCCTGTGATTTTATTCTTCCTAGAGGTGACTTTTTTTTTTTTTCCTCAGAGGGCTTCTTTATAAGTTGGATGGCTTAAAATTTAAAGCTGGGATAGCCTTGTTTCCCCCAAATACTATAGCTTATTAATTAGTGACACAGCCTCAAGCATTGTTTTTGTTTTATTCTTGTTTTTGAGTAAAATTCACTGTGTGAAAAGGGCCATATAAATGGCATCACAGCTAAAGCTTCTTCATATACTCAGGAGAAATGCATTTAAGGGAATAGAAATTATGGTTTTTCTATACACATCCCTGCCAGGACAGAGCAGTCATACTTACCAACAAATGTTGTGAAACAGTTTCTTGCAGATGGTTCTAGCTGCTAGGTTCAGAAGTATGTGCTACATATACGTTCCATCCATCCACCTGTCTATCCAGCCATCCACCCACCTGTGCATCCATCCTTTTTGGAGGATATGTTCCCTAAAACAAGGTGGCAAAAAAAGAGGAGCTTGAACTTTATGTTCTCACAGAACGTCCAGGTTTTCAGACAATGAAGGTAAAATTGGGGTTTTATACATGCTACGAAGGAAATAACAGGACAAGAGGGTAACTAGGGGAGGTGATGGGTAATCTGAGACTTGAGGGTGAAGAAAAGTCACCCATGTAAGAGCTGGAGGAAGAACATTGTGGACAGAGAGAACACCAAGTTCAAAGGCCCTAATGGAATTGAGTTTATGATATTTAAGGAACACACAGGAGATGAGTTAGATCGGAGTGAAGAAAATGAAGAGGCTGGTACTAGGATAAATTGGGATTGGGTAGGAGATGTCAGGCCATGATGGAGTTCCAATTTTATTCTAAAACCAGTTAAACATTAGAGTTTTAAGGTAGAGAATGGTGTGACATTGATTTAGGTAAATCACTTTGAGGGGCCTGTTGGGAGAATAGTTTGAGATAGGAGCATGAGTGGTAGCAGTGAGGCCAGGTCAAGAGCAGATATTTCAGTAGTCCAGGCGAGAATTGTGGTGGCTTACATAAAGGTAGGAACAATGGAGATGGAAAGAATAATTATTTGAGAAATGATTTTAGTAATTTACTTATGATGTATTTGAGTCCAACCCAACATCTATGATCACCAAAGGCAGTGACCCAGCAGTGCCATTGATAATTCATTTGATTGTAAGGTCATTACTGAATTAACATGATGGGTTTTCTTTTTATGCATAGTTTATTATTATTATTATTATTATTATTATTATCTTTATTTATTTCTTCCATGAGTGAGAGAGAGTCAGCGAACACTCCTTACAGGTTCTCTGTACTGTGATCCAACCCTTTTCATGAGCACACACATGCCCAGTGTACTCAGGAAAGTCTCTGGGTGTGAACCTGGAACTTTACCATGTGGGTCAGCCTCACAGGGCCTCAAGTTTTACCCCTGTCCAGCTCCAACTAGACAAGATAATTTTGATAACCACTAAGTAATCTGTGTAGCATTATAGTTGTTAACTTACTGGCCTTAAGTTAGGTTAGATTTCTTATACTTTAGACAATAATATAATTTACTTAATTGGTTTTAGGTTTAGGTTGAGCCTTACATTTCTAAGAGTATCCCCTGAGGTACTTCCTATGTGAATATAGAACAAATGCATATCCCTGTACATTTTAAAAAATAAAGTAATGCATTTTATGATTGATTTCAAACCATGGATAACTATAGTCAAATCATAATGGAATGTAACTATATAATTATGAGATTAAGAAAGCGAAAGCAATCCCAGTTTGTTATTTAGTAAACAGAGATGAGCGCCTACCACTGACTACTCAATTCTCTGTAATTTGATTAAAAAACAAAAACTCAGAAATATCTAATTCTTAGAAAATTAACTTTATTTATTTCTTCCATGAGTGAGAGAGAGTCAGCGAACACTCCTTACAGGTTCTCTGTACTGTGATCCAACCCTTTTCATGAGCACACACATGCCCAGTGTACTCAGGAAAGTCTCTGGGTGTGAACCTGGAACTTTACCATGTGGGTCAGCCTCACAGGGCCTCAAGTTTTACCCCTGTCCAGCTCCAACTAGACAAGATAATTTTGATAACCACTAAGTAATCTGTGTAGCATTATAGTTATTAACTTACTGGCCTTAAGTTAGGTTAGATTTCTTATACTTTAGACAATAATATAATTTACTTAATTGGTTTTAGGTTTAGGTTGAGCCTTACATTTCTAAGAGTATCCCCTGAGGTACTTCCTATGTGAATATAGAACAAATGCATATCCCTGTACATTTTAAAAAATAAAGTAATGCATTTTATGATTGATTTCAAACCATGGATAACTATAGTCAAATCATAATGGAATGTAACTATATAATTATGAGATTAAGAAAGCGAAAGCAATCCCAGTTTGTTATTTAGTAAACAGAGATGAGCGCCTACCACTGACTACTCAATTCTCTGTAATTTGATTAAAAAACAAAAACTCAGAAATATCTAATTCTTAGAAATGTCTGTCTGTACTAATATTCTGACACAAACTCTACTTCTATGAAATACCAGTGTTTACTAGAGCGAATCAAGATGTTCTTGTCACTGAAGGCAAGCAATGGCAGTCTTCTTTTTATCAAAAAAATAAGTAAATGAAATATATTTTCTATATTTGAAGATTTTCAGCAGTATTTTTCCTAAACTTTTGGCTCCTCTGATGGCTTACCTAGACTAGAACCTGGCCTAGAATGATGTCTTAGTTTTAGAATTTATAAACTAATTTTATAAACTAGTTAATTTGGTACACAATGATTGGATTCCATATTTTTACACATAATCTATCAGTATTTCATAATAAAAAATTCTATAGAGTTCTGTTCTATAAAAAAAAAAAAATCGCAGGGTTTCCAGATGTTCTAGATACCAGCTACTAGAAAAAAAAATATCAGAAAAAGAAAAAGGAAAGTGGCAGTTACATTGACAGAAGCATTTCTCACTGACATAAAGTTCAGAACAGCGGTATCAGAGTTGCAGTCTCCTCTAAGCAGTGATCAGGGACACAGACCCCTTCCATGTTGTAGCCCTGGTATCTTGCATGTGGTTTCCAAGGTTGCAGGGCTTATCTTCATCAAGCTGGTGTCAAGGGGGAGAAGCATGGAGGAACATTCTTGGGAGTGCTTTATAGGCCAGACTTGGAGGGGCATACATCACCTCCAGTCACATTCCATTGACTGGAACTTAGTCAGTCACAGCTAAGTGTAAGGGATGCCAGGAAATTTAGCCACATGCCCAGGAAGTAAACAGAGTAGTCTGTTAAATAGCCCATCTCTGCCATGCTCCTGATCCATTTGGAAAAAAACAGTCTAGCAATCAACATGCATTGGCACTGGTATGAGTTGGCTCAAATGGTTGGGCTGACATCATGGGGCACATTGTTGATGGCCAATAAAGATGTTTTAAAAATCCACTTGGAGGGAGTTGGAGGTGTCAGCCTTGGGCTGTTTTCTAGTGGGGTTGTTTTCGTTTATGAAAGGGTAGCAGAAGTATTATCAAAATAAAAGATTTAAATTTTCTTCAAGACTCTACAAATAAGATGAATTATTAATTTGCTATCTTGAAAAAAAAAATGCATGGTTTCCTTATAAGAAATTTGTTTTAATAGAAAGTTACTATCATTTACTTTCATGGGACAAACCAGAAAGGTCCTTCAGTCTTATCCTCTGCTAACACTGCCCTGGGCATTACCCATTACATCAAGCATAATGTTACTAGTTTGCAGACATTATTTTACTTTATGACCAAAAGAATGCTGCAAAGTAGATATTTTTATTCTCATTTTATATCTGAAGAACCAATGATACAGAAAATAATAGAACTTGGCAAAAGTCACCCACAACTGAGATATGTCTGATTTTCTGTGAAACTGTTAAGTATAAAATAGGTATCTTGAGTATATCATGTTTTCCTTTCTTTTTTTTTAATAAAGAAAAAAAGTGTCACATAATATTTTGACCGAAATTTCTCAAAAAATAGCTTTGGTCAAGAAATATTTTTAAAGACTCCTGGCTTTTGATAAAAATGAGTTAAACACACTTGGGTCCCTTTTTCTGCCTGTGAAGAGTGAGATCCTGTCCCACTCTGTGCGGTCAGTTTAGATCTGGAAGCTGTTTATGAGTTCCTGTAGCTTGACCTGACGCAGGGGACCAGGCAAAAGGATTCCAGGGTGTGGCTGGAATTCATTTCTGGCTTCTGTGACAAAGAAAGGAAAAAGTGCTGCTGTCCCTGTCAGAAGATTCAAGAGCTAGGGCCTGCCAGTGTCTGCACAGCAGTAGACTGTGAGGAGCATCCCAGACTTTCACTATGCAAACTTGGAATCCCACTGCAGAGACAGGCTGTGGGGAGGGCCAGAGCATTATGGAACTAAAACAGGGATGAAGAGATTTTCAACGCAGCATCTTAAGGTATATTCAAAGCCATTTTCCTGGAGTTGGATTCATGAAACACTGATTTTGCAAGAAGCTTCACAAAAGAAGGATTTGGTGGTTAAAGAACTGTAGAAAACTTAGGTGGTGGCACAGTGGTTAAGGCAACTGGATCCCACATGTCTGCCTGCTCAGTTCAAGTCATGGACCCGACAGCTTGAAAAAC